CTAACATAGAATGGTTTACCCTTTCCTTTCCCGTAGGTGTTGTAAGAGACGATTAAGAGAAGCTGCCCATCTCACGACCTTAATGGTCGCGGCCTTCTTAAAACATATTTAAATCCTAACTGTGGTTACAAACCCACCTGCCAAGCGTGGCAAATGACATAACCCCCCTTTTTGGCGAGGCCTATGTTCAGATAATGATGATGATGATGTTATATGTATAATTATATATTTTATTAAACAAAACCTGTTTAAATTTTTGTTAAAAACAAACTCTATAACGTAATCCGCCATCTTGTAGCTGCGGCCATTTTAAAATGATGTCATTTATTTAGTACTTACCTATTCTTCTACTCTTTCATTTTGTGTCCATCTTAATATCGGTTATTAATAAACACAAAATATAAAACATTTACTAATTAATTTCGAAAATATTAGAATATTTAGTATTTTATTTTGTATCGTCATCACAACTAGGTATAAAGCAAAATTTCACCAAAATCGGTTACGGGGGAAGTAGTTCTAATTCGTCCCGCAAGATTTGACCCAAACATAATGTACAAGTTAAATTGCCTGTAAAAACACAATGAGAGCTCATCTAGCGACTCTATAAACTTGTTCCGCGGTTTCAGCCGGCTCTAATAATGTTGAGTGACAGTGACGTGACCCTCTGCCGCCGATATCCCGAAGTTCCCCTCTTCAGGCAGTCGCCGCAAAATTATTTTATTGAAAATTTAATTTGATTCTTTGGCCATGCGAAAAATTATTGGATATAGTTTTTTAGCGCTTCGTAAAAATATGCCATAATACAATTTGTTTTTGCTTTTAAACAGTTTAACCTAGTTTGAGGATATGTTGACGATGTAAATTGATTGGCATTTAATGGAATTTGTTTATATTGTAGTGGATAAAAACTAGTCTATTTTACTGATCTAGGTGTTGTCTTGCAGAAGTTCATTTCGATAGTTATTTGTTTAGAATTATTTTGTTTAATTCCGCTACCATTAGTATGTATATGACTGCCAACACTCGAAGACTGACCACCACTATTTTCTTTTTAATGGATGATATTGGAATAGTAACCCCGCCTGCGCTATTGGTATACGCCGGCGGGGCACCAGTGAGGGATGATAGATGAGCATGAAAGCAGGTCAGTTAGCCTATCGTGATGAATGCAATAAGTATTAATCACAATGGTTTCCAGGGGGAACCTCGTGGAGGTCGACCTGACAGGGCTTGCTAGCAATAGGGCTATTAGTCCCCACTACTAACAGTCCCTTTCCCCCTGACCACCACTATTATTACCAGCAATTTACGTGTAGTCCTGCCATAAGACGAGTCACCCTTTCCTTTCCTTCCCTGTGGGTACTGTAAGAGAATTTAATGGTCAAGGTATCCGTCTTAAAACATCACCAGAGCCTAAATGTGGTTAAAACCCTCCTGTCAAACATGGCACGTACTGGCAAAGCCAACCCAACAGGGGGAGCCCTATATTCAGTATCTAATGTTGATATGATGATATATATATATATATATATATATATATATATATATATATATATATATATATATTGTTTCCTACAAAAGCAAAAGATTACAATAGTAAACTTATTATAAATACAAACAATTACAAGAAATAATCACAATGAGAAAACAATGGGCGAGCTTATCGCTAAGAGCGATCTCTTCCAGATAGATACTCTTTATTGTTTTCTCCATAAGATTACAATAGTAAACTTTTTATAAATACAAACAATTACAAGAAATGATCACAGTGAGAAAACAATGGGCGGCCTATATCGATCGCTAAGAGCGATCTCTTGCAGGCAACCTTTGGATCGAGAGGAGTAATTATAAACAGTTTGATTATATATTTATTTATTTTTTGTATGTATACATATAAATATATTTGTCCGCTCAGTTTTATATAAGGAATTGCATAGAAATATATATTATAATTGATTTTCTAATTGGTTCTCAAATTATATACAACATAAAATACGTTTGTTTGCTTCGTTTTATTGAATTTATTTAAATTCATTAATTGGTTTTGTGTTGTATGATAATCCAATTATTAGATTTTTTTGTCAATTTAAATCATTTCTTTTGCATTACTTTCTCCCACTTTCTCTCTGTATATTCCACTCGTGTTTCTGCTGTCTAACTATTAGAACGCTTCGATTTGCAATTTTGCAACGCTGTGTTTTGATTTAAAAGGTGGGATCATTATGATATTAGGCGTATTTTATAGTGTACGTACTTGTCTATAGGCGACGGTTATTATTTACCATCAGAGAAGCTGTCAGCTTGTTTGTCATTCTAAGTTATGTTAAAAACTTTTTTTATTAACAATAAGCTATGTCTGTAAATAAATACATAAAGTATTCCCTGTACATATTATCAATACAGGTGCATGACATTTTTTTGTTTTTTTTTATGGGTGAAAATGGTATGGTAACCCCGCCTGCGCTAACGGGATACGCTGGCGGAGCACCCGTGAAGGGTGATCGATGAAAATGAAAACAGGCCAGTTAACCCATCATGATGAATTCATCAGGAATTAACCATGATAGTTTCCAGCGGGAACCACGTGTAGGTTGACCTGATAGGGCATATTGCTAGCAATGGGGCTAACAAACTCCATTGCTAACAATCCCTTTCCCCCCATGCATGCCATATTAGGATATAACCTACTCGTGTACCAAATTTCCTTCAAATCCTTTCAGTAATCTTTGCCTGAAAGAGTTAACAAACGTCTATCCACCTTTACGAATTTTCGCATTTAAAATGTTGATAGGATTTACTTACAATCTGAGCTACAGACTTGTGACAGACGGACGTACAAACAGCAAAAGTGAGCCAACAAACCAACGCACAATAACGACTGTAAGAATCACAAGTTAACTAACTAAACTGGTACAAAACATAATTGTTCTACTGTTATTATTGTACTTGAAATTGTGTTGTATAAATTAACTGTCCTAACAAAGAGTAAAACAACAAAACTGCAAACGTAAAGGTATGCGTCTATTTGCATAAAACTGTTTTAATGTCCTATAATATTCTGTGCTAAAGCTCGCTGCGCTCGGGGGCACGCTTACCCTTAATTTCGACGATTTACTCGGCTACATTGTACCATGGAGAATATAGCTGCGCTCTCCACGTTCATAGAGCATACACTAACGGTAAACTACCTACTATAAATAAATATTGATCATGTACGTTTACATGGAGCGTCGATTAAAAACGTTCCAAGCGTCTAAGGGTCTAAGATGTTTTGTTATATTAAAAAGTCCACAATACGTCTAACTTTATTTAGAAGAATTGTGGCAACGTTGCATTTAATAAAAATAATTTAACAATTTTCAAAATTTTCCGATTGTTTATTTATAAAAATGTTCTGATAGCGAACTGAAGCGTTAATTATGCAAAAATATATTTACTGAATTGTCACTAAAAATTTAGAATTTGATAGCAAAAAGTTATTTAAAAATTCCAAAGCAGAATATGAGATAGGTATAAAGTTTTTCATTTATATATATATATATATATATATATATATATATATATGTATATATATATATATATATATATTTTATACAACTTAGAATGGCAAACAAGCTGACGGCCCACCTGATGGAAAGTGGTAACCGTCGCCTATAGACATGAGCAGTACCATGGACATAATAGAGTATACTGTTTCGCCCATGATACCCCCCATGCGTTGCCATTCCTGAGGACTCAGGTGTTATTCCTCTGTACCCAGTAAATTCACGCCATATCCCACCCTTCAAACCGAAACACAGCCATGCAAACACAACTGCTTCACGGTTGAAACACGAATGGGACAGAGGTACCCAAGCAATCGACTTTTGTACAAAGTCTCCCTCTGGTATTTCGTATTGGTCATTAGATTTATATGCAATATTTTTTATAATTAATTTCTACCATTGCCATCCCTTGCTTTCCCATAAGTGTTGTAAGAGGAGACTAATATAGGGCGAGTGATAGGCAGCAGCGTCCGTCTTAATTACAATTCCATAGCCTAACTGCAGTTGCCAATCCGCCTGCCAAAGCGTGGCAGCTACTGGCAAAACTTTCCGTATGAGAAAGGCTTATGTCCAGCAGTGGACAGTTAAAGGCTGATATGATGAACGTTTTACGAGAGTTTGGTAACATAGCAATTTTTAAATAACCAATCAGAAATATTGAAAAACGTTTAATTACTTTTGATTTTGATTTTAATTAAATTGACAGATAATTTTAACTTTCTTTAACATACTTTATTAATAACAGTCTTAAATTTCAAAATCTATATACGATCTATGATACATACAATTTCACACACATAAAAATATAAAATTTTTCTCCGTTTAGCGAAGAAATTTCATATCATAGTTTAGAATTTCCAACTGCAAGATTTCACATTAAAATCCTAGTATACCTAGACTTGAATTAATTAAAAGTAATTCGCTTCTAAACTGAACTAACTGACAGTCGGAAACGGGACTACATTTACTCAAAATAACATGTCCACTACTACGCCAATATGTTATTCAGTAAGCGAATATGGTTTAATTTTTTTTTATACAACTTAGAATGGCAAACAAGCTGACGGCCCACCTGATGGAAAGTGGTAACCATCGCCTATAGACATGAGCAGTACCATGGATATAACAAAGTATACTGTTTCGCCCATGTTACTCCGCATGCGTTGTCATTCCTAAGGACTCAGGTGTTATTCTTCTATGCCCAAAAAAACTGGCATGAATTTACTAGGTACAGAAGAGTAACACCTGAGTCCTCAAGAATGGCAACGCATGGGAGGTATCATGGGCGAATTCGATATCAAGCTTTGTTGATCAATCAGTATCACCAAAATTATTTATTAACTTAAGTTCAACTTATTCATAATGAGTAATGAATAATGAGTAAGTAATTGATGTACAGTGAGCATCTAAGTGTATTTACATAATGTATTTAAATTTTTTTTTTTGTTATAGTTTCGAAAGAAGATGTTAAAGAAATCGAGAGCCCCAACGGTAATCCTAAGATGACAAGATACACGACAATATCAAGGTATGTGCAGATGATATACTATTACTAAAAACTGTTTCGCCATGTGGTCCCGGCATAGAAGGGAAGGCGTCACCCCTTCCCTTCCCGTAGATGTCGTAAGAGGCAACTAAAGGACGTAATGGTCAAGGAATGGGCAGCAACGATCCAATCCAGCAATCCAAATTTGCCAATTATTGGCAAAACCCCCCAATAGAGGAAGGCCTATATTCGGTAGTAAATAGATAACGGCTGATATGGTGATAATAATCTGTTTCAATAGAACTTAATAACAATGTATACGAATCAATAATTGAACCCTAAGATAGTATGTTGATATCCAGTAGCTACAAGGCAAAAATCGACTAGTTGATTTAATGTTTCAATCTGGTACTAAATTCATTCAGACAGCGTTTCTCTGATAATTTAAACAAAATTAGAATCACTGTTTCATAAATTATATTAAACTTTTTCATTAATCTATGCTCATAGTAATAATAATTAGGAGGTGAAACTCTTTAGTTTCTAAGATTTTCTGTGCCGCGTTCTTTGTGTGTGAAAGCCTCTGATATAGCTTATCGGACGATACCTTTACGCGCCCTCCTAAGTACGAAGCAAGTGATAATCATTTTTACATGTCTACCTAAAAGAGGAATGTAATATTTTCAGGATTATATGTGAGTTTCTTTCCGCCATCAATTCTAAGTTCCTGAACAGATTTGGATATACGGAATATTGTTAAAGTTGTCACTTCATCACGAGTAACAAAGACTTTATTATTTGGAAATATTGATAATTTTTTTAACAATGCAATCGTGTTTTTTAATTTACACAGTATGACTAAAATATATTTTATATATGTTGTACTATATGTACATTGTTTTATAAGTTTTTATACATCTAATAAATATCAAAATTTACATGTTTCAAAGACAAATTTAAGAATACAGAAGCTGGTATTTGATTTTAAGATCCCTGGATCGCAGTCATGCATTCTTCCAGTAAACTGTCACATATATATTTTTAATAAATGTCTTAATATAACAAAGTTACTTATGTTTCAAGGTTGTTTCAGTGACCTTACGGTATTTGCAATATTAAACATCCAACCTTTGCCATTAAAACTAATTTGAAATTTGACAATGGTGTCCGTTCGACTTTGACGAGGGTTAGTGTCTTGATATTTCAACTGATTGTGAGTATTATGGGTCGGTATATAATATTTTGCTTGATGTTTACAATGTAAATCGTGTTATTTTGATGGATGTGAATTGTTTTCAGGCAAATGTATAAATTTCAGTCTCTGACTTAATAATATACAGGGTGATATATGAATTATTCGCATAATTTTTAGAGAGTGTTCTATTAGTAAAAGTGAATTTCTTCTTAAAGTGACATGATTTAAAAAGTGTTCGGCTTAATTAGTATTAGTTTTTTTAAAATTATTTTGTGTTTGGTTAATAAAATATTCAAACATTTTTTTGCAAACTTTCTCTACAAACATTCTTATAATATATATATATATATATATATATATATATATATATATATATATATATATATATATATATATAAAGATAGAGGTCTTTGACACTCGATTATCTCTGCTTACACTGTAAAAGACATAAAGATAAATAGATATAAAATAAGAGATAAAGATATATTTATTTAACAAAGTATGTTTGTATAAGTACAGAATGTATCATTGCTTCCTACACTAGGCTGAGCGTGTCCTGTAGGAAACAGAATTCATATTTTACCTTATAAAAGAATTATAATATAGTAACAAATAGGATACGAAAATTAGAATTACATATTTTTCAAGTCAGCCAAAATCGAACTGACCACGGTATTGTGAAGCATAAAACTGCTAGAGAGATCTGGTATAAGGTATATATAGGGATAGCTCGTTATCTCTCCAACTTTGCACTCATAGTTTTAATTGACATTTGTACCAACTATTGTGTTCATTCTATTGTTCCATAGATAAAAACTTTCTGGACCACGTTTTGATAACATTCTCTTATCTATTCTCTATGACGCAAGAGATAAAAGTTACATTACAGGGAGACTTTGTACAAAAGTCGATTGGTTGGGTACCTCTGTCCTATTCGTGTTTCAACTGTGAAGCAGTTGTGTTTGCATGGCTGTGTTTCAGTTTGAACGGTGGGATATGGCGTGAATTTACTGGGTATAGAGGAAGAACACCTGAGTCCTCAGGAATGGTAACGCATGGGGGGAATCATGGGCGAAACAGTATACTGTGTTATGTCCATGGTACTGATCATGTTTAAAGGCGACGGTTACCACTTTCCATCAGGTGGGCCGTCAGCTTGTTTGCCATTCTAAGTTGTATATAAAAAAAAAAAAACATTAAAATAATATCTGTTTATTATATAAATTTATCAAATAGCTTAAAGTGGATGATCAAATTTAAAATTATATAAATAAATAGTTGAGGTCACAATCCCATGTCGCTTCGAGCAAAGCCGGGGCAGATCGTTAGTTTCAAATATATATGATATAAACACTGAATCACGTTTCTGTAATGTATATTCAAACTCGAGAGAGTTTGTTTATTATAAATTTATTTATTTATTGCAAAATTATTTGTGACTAAAAAAAAACTATATTCATATAATTTTAATGATTAATGTTAGCTGAATATGGAATTGTATATTTATTAAATGAAAACTCTGTATCACTTATTCAAAGCAAATAAATTTAAATTAAATTAAATTTAAATTATAAATTAGGATTGTGTCCCACAAAAAAATAAACTTTAATTGTGATAAAATTAGTTATTTTGAATTAAAAACTAAACTATTGTAACAATTTTAAGAAAAAATTTAAAAGGTTAATTTATAACTATATCTTTTTGATAACAAAAGAATTTTCCAAATAGGTTTATAACCGACGGAGATATGAGGTAACAAATATAAAAAGAAAATATAAAAAAAAAACTGAATTGAGACCTTATTTTTAAAGTCGGTTGAATAACTAATAGGTAATACGTAATCATTTAATTTTGTATCGTCTCGTCTTATCCAAAAAGTTATTGACTGTCTTATTTTATTTACTTTCTTGTGAAAAAGAAGTAAATGCATTTACCCAACTCGGGTCATGCGCAACCCTGTAACACATTTTTGTGTGAATTTTAGCAATTCAAAAGTTGTTCCAGTTTGAGTAGTTGGAAACGTAATTATAAAAGTTTTAAACGTTGCAAAACAAACTCTAATGTTGTTCTATGTAATACTCATTTCCTAAAGCACATTCGCCACTTTACGTGTGAGCAATATGAATTACTTTTTGTGGAAATGTCATAAAGTTGAAGAACTTTTGGGTGCATACGGGTTTCATTACCGAACGGGTACGCTGCGTTTCCAAATTACAATGTATTATTTGTTGTACTATTATTTATACTGTGGTATTAGAATTCAAATTTTTCAAATTGTAAAATATTTATCAATTCTCCACAATACTGTATGAGCAACTATTATGTACTTAATGTATTATGGAAACTGATGGCTGAACTAGGAAAACCTGTGCAGCCACCAGGCCACTATCTCCAGATAACTTGTATCAATGTAAGTAAATAACAGTCCAAAAATATCTAACGTTAGCTAATTATTGGGGATTAAAACTTATATATATATATATATATATATATATATATATATATATATATATATATATATATATATATATATATATATATATATATATATATATATATATATATATGGTACATGGTAGAATGTAGAATAGAATTACGAGATTACCCCACGTTTTTCTTTTTGGATCATAAAATGATTACGTAGAAACGTTTACTGTCTATGTATACTGTTTTAATTTTACGCGAATTCATGTGTCTACAATACACAACTGATTAAATAAAAAAATTAAACTAAAATGTTTTCAATGCAATGTGTCTACATATCATCTCGTCATTAAGACAGAATGGGTCACTAAAAATCCCACTTATGGAAGAGGCGTCTGTTCAGAAGTGAACAGTTAACGACAGATATGATAAAGTTGACGATATAGACAAAATAGCTCGATTCGACATTCTGGGAGTGATATTTTATTATTAAGACGACTATACTGTTTTACGGTGACAATATAAAATAAACATGACAGTCATAAATTGTCAAAAATAATTTTATTTTAGACATAAAACAGTTGAGTTTTATGAGTTAGCACGTTTATTTATTTTTTATTATATTTCCACTTGTTTATATCTGACTTCATTGCGTTTCTAGCGATCTTTATTTTTCAAAATGAAATTCCTTCAACTTTAAATCGATTTTAATATTTCAATTTGCAATATTTAGTTCTACTATGGTCTGAATTCCATGTTTACTAAGATTGAAGAAGTCATTTATTTTTGTAAAAAAAAACATTCAATTACTTTTCATGCAATATAGAATGACAATTAGCAAACAAGCTGACTGCTACCTGACAGAAAGTGGTTACCATAACTTATAGATTTTTGATACAGTAATATTAATATACACTCATCAACATGAATAAGACTTCTGAATGAAGTCAAAATAATCATCACAAACAACAAAAACACTGTATCTTCGTTAATTTCACGTTATATATGTATATACATAGATATCGGATAAAAATGATTATGAATTTTAAAAATAAAACTAACAAGAGGATATTAATACAGTCCCAGCAATCAAATACGATATTTCAAAAAAAATATATTAATGTCTGCTCAGGGTCAGCAACGCGTACGTGACACCCCTAGTCGTGCAAGATTCTTAGGCTACAGTGACCATTTTTCATCAGACGAGCTGTATGCTTGTTTGCCACCTACGTGGTATAAAAAAAGTAAATAACAGTTGGATTTTTTAATTTATTGAAGTCATTTTTATTTCTTAAAAAAAAAATAACAGCCGTCACAGAGATTTTCGAAAACATAACCGTATGTATCACTTCGTTTCAAGGAAATAGAATATCTGGAAGCGTTTGTACAAAGTTCGATTCTCAAAGATTGACGTCCAAAAGTT